AGGCATAAAATGTACACTTACCACAATATTCCTTACAAACAGCAGAACGAATGGTATTTGGTGCCTCTTTGCAGTTATGTAAGATGAAGGACAGGTTTTACAACATTAACCTTGTCACACCAAAAATCTGGATTTTTACTCTTTCAGCTGAGTTCTCCTTTCAGCTATGCTATTCAGCTTTTACTGGGAAAGAATTCAGTGTGCATGCACCAGAGAGACAAGGTAGAAAATAAAAAAATTTTGCAGAGCATTGCAAGTGAATGCTGCTAAAATGTCCTGCATCCCATAGCATTCTCCACAAGTTACTATCTACATAGAAAATTACACTGGGCCTGAAAAACATTATCATTTTGTATCCCCTAATCACAAACCAAAGTGCTCAGAAAAAAAAAAAGAAAGAAAAGAAGAAACTGACAAAGAGCTTAGAGAAGAACTAATTTTAAAATACTTACAATTACATATTTAACTAAAAATAGCACTTTGTGCATTAACAAATTCTGATTATAAAGAGGGATCTGAGGGGCCCTGCTAGAACTGGAAACACATGCATCCTCTCACACCAGTAGGATGGGAAGTTCCCCTTTGGGAAAAAAGGGAACACGATTGTTTGAAGTGCTGCCCAGTGCCCAGAGACAAAAAAAAAAAAAAAAAATCTCAACAGTAGGACTGAAATACTAATTACAGGGAGCCCAGACCCTGACAAGGTCAGAGAAAGGACATTCAGCATAAAGTGTCCTTAATCTTCACCCAGGTGTCTGCCCCAGCCCATTCCTTAATCCCTCCCTCACCTTGCAGTGGATGGCAAGTCCAGATTACAGGCAGAAAGGGGAACAAGAAAGCAAGTAGATTTGACATGAAATTATCTGAAGTAAATTTTAAAATGGCAGCTGCGCAATGATGCTCATAAATTTAGAATCTTAAAAAAAATACCTGGGACCTACAGTGGTGGCCACAAGATACGTGGTATGTTACATGGCTCTGCAATTCGTCACCCAGTATCTTCTAGCCTCACTTTCTGGATTTGAAAGCAGAAAAGCATGTTCCTTGGGGATAAAACCTGGGCCTTCCTTGTTGCTACTCCATCAGCTTGGATCCAAATTCTGCCTGAAGAAAGTGAGTGCAGCACTACCAAAGGTTTGGTGAGCAGGGACAGTTTAAGATTCAAGGCAGTTTAAATCATTCATTATTTAAGATAATGGAAAAGTTCTCAAATGCCAAGCTGATGAAATATCTACCAATTAGCAGAATTAGTACTTGAAATAGAAGCAGCAGTGCAAAATGAAAACCAGAAATGCTTCAAATAGATTTTGGAAAGGAATTTGCTAGAGGAGAGGGTCATACACATAGAAATTTATCAAAATAACCCCAGTGTGGACACACCTATATTGGAATAAAAAAAAAAATGTTTCCTTCCAGTCTCCCCCTCCTGATTTAAGCTTCCCCCTTCTCCCCCTTCCAAAATGGTCTGATGTAAATAAAATGCATGCCTCCCCATTGCTTTAGTATGTTAGGCTTGCTTCAGCAAGGGATTAAAGCCAATTCCTACAGAAACAAAAACTGTGGTTTTTTCTTACATATCAGCTCAACACGACTTGCACTAGGTGCTCATATCACCACGTATGACTAATATGTCATTCCTCTCTCATTTATGCTAAATCAGCAACAACACGCTGCACCTTGCATCTGATATTCACCAACACACATTTTCATGGAGTTCTTGGGAATAAAGCATGAGAAAGATGTATAGGCATCACTCAAACTTGCCTAATATTATGTAATAGAAATTCCTACTGTATTTGTCAAATAATTCTAGCATAGATATCTCTGAATACCAGCCAAAAGGATGGGAAAGTTACCTTGAACAGAAAATAAAGGAAGACAAACTGGTGATTTTTCTTCTCAATGGGCTTAAAGCCATTGATTTTTACACTAGTGTAATAATCAGTTTGTGGAAGAAATACTCTCTTCATTCTCATCTACTGTGTGGATATCTGTGGCAACACTCTCATGGAGCACAGTCACCCTGGACCAGATAAAGCCAGTGAAAAAACTGAAACATATTTTCCCTCAATCTCCATAAGGAATTAATTTCCAAGAAGCTTTTAAGAAAAATAATCAAACAAATAAACAAAAAAACCAACCACCAAACAAACCAAGAATCTCCGTATCTAGAGGGAACATGAGAAACAGCCTAACCACACGGCATGTGGTCAGCAGCAGATTACATGCAATGCTTATTCTAAACCTACATCTGATGCAAAATTATTAATATAGGAAGTGGGAGTGAAAAGGATACCACAAAGCTGAAAATCTGCTTGATGTTCAAGTCATGGTATCTGTGCTCTGCACTACTGCAATGGGCACAAAATCACCGTTTGCTACAAGTAATGCAAGACCAAATGCTCTTAACTCAACCAATCACCAGCAGTTGTTTGTCAGAACTATCCAGGATGAGAAAATCAGTGGGGCTAAAATCACAAGTTTCCTGCATAAGGAGCAATGCATGAAAAGCAAGCTAGTCACAAAGGTGAGGCCACCAACCAGACAGTGACCAGCAGAGACTGCTGCACAGCAGCCAAGTGTGCCAGTACTGCTCCAATAAGCAAATGGAAGTGGTAAAAGGCTACGCTTCCATATGATGACTAATGGGAAGCAGCACCATACATGTAGACAGTAGGGGCAAGGAAGGAGATAAGCATGTAGCCACAGAAATCCTACAACAGAAGTGTTAAGGATGTACTACAAACACACACGGACCTGCTCTCTATCTTGACCAAACTTAGCACTGGGGGAAGCGACCTGTACTTTTAAAAGTATGCATTATTGAACAAAATGATTACTTAAAACACCAGCTTTAAGAAGAAATATATAATTTCTTTCTGAGTTTTAAAGCTTATAAAAATGAGACTCAAAAGCCACACCCGAAGATAGATGCTGTTTGGAGAAAACAGGAAGCTTAAACAACTCTTCTGAGGGCCCTTAGCCCAGGTTGAAAGCACGTGATGCCCCTCGCGGACACCACTGAGGTTCATACTGCAGAGCAAGACTGCTTTAACACTTAGGAGCAAGGAAGTTGCATGCAGACTCTCAACTGCAGGTCTCCAGTGTCATGCAGAAGTAGAGAAGAGGTTCCCAGAGGGCAACCCCATTCACCATGTATAGAGAATGCTATGCTCTCTAACCTACCTTCTACTTTATCACAAGTATTCAATTATATGTATCAGGAACAACATATACTCTGAAGAGTTGAAGAATACTTCAAATCAGCTAGAAAAGCAAATCCAGCTTTACTCTTTTCACAGAGGAAGATACAGTGTTCTCAATGAACCAAACACCACAAGCTTTCTATGGAGCTGGAAGTCTCTAACCTACAGTTCTCCTTGTAACTACATGACCAGGAAGCTGTGCCTCAAAACCTGTGTGCACATCATCTGTCCATTTCTAGAAGATTTTGACCCAAGTTGTAGCACTCGCTGAGAGCCTGCTGGAAATTAAGAATCCTGAGAAGAAAGCCATTTTTTTCTAGGTAGGTGACAAAAACCGTGTAGACGTGTTGTTATCTGCTGCTTTTCCAGTTGCTTCTCCCCTGACATGTTGGGATTTTGAAGCATGTATCTACTGGTTCTCAGTTCACAACATTGGGGATCATCCATTCTTATTCCACTGCAATTTTATGTAATGTTTTCCATATCAACAGACATAACAACTCAAACACACTTGCTGTATTAGGGTGCATGTGTTCAATGCATGTGTGTACAAGAGGCAGGCAGGTGCAAAGGCACAAAAGCTCACTCTTGCAGGCACAATTCAAAGATAAGTATCCTAGGGCAAGAACAGCAATTCCACGTAGCATTTTGGTAAAAACACCCCAAAGACTTGGGTGTCATTAGGGCAGAACACAACAGAACTGAAAGAATGCAGGTCTTACTAGAGCAGTCCCCAAAATAAACGTAACTCCTCTGAAAACACTTCTTTTTCCAGCAGCCTGCTTGTATTGTGAGCCCTCTGGAAACAGAGCCTCATTAAAATGGAGAAGGGCTAAAAGAGCAGGAGAGAAGAAGCATGCTGGTCCTGCAGTGTGCATGTCAACCCGCTAGCATGGGGAGAATGAAGACTGTCCACAGTGCAAAACCGGGAGATGAACTATTCCGCCTAACAGCTGTAGAGAAAGGTTTGGACTTCAAATGGAGATGCAAGCAAATAAACCAAACCCTACTTTCCCATGTGGACGACAGTTATCCTTTGGAACAGTTATGGGAAGACAGTGCTCTAGCCCATAATTGTCTCTATTCCAGTACCACACAGTAAATGGCTACTACCTGCAACAACATACAGCCTTGGGAATGGCCTATTTGTCCTCCAGAACTAAAGGATGACCATGCACACAAAGAGTGAAATTGAAATGGGGAAAAAATAATTCCCCTCAGAACGGAACAGGAGAGTGCCTGGCCCTCAGAAACGTGGACCAAACTCTAACACAAGACTCAGTTTCCATTCTGTCCAAACGAACATCTGGAAGCTCCTCCTTCCCCAACCCTCTTCCCAGCTCAACCTTCAGCATCTGTCCAAGGAGGGAGACAAAGAGATTTCCATGGGGTCTGCTGGGTATCATCAGTCATTGACAATTGCTCTGTGCAATTTTGATACCCAGAAGCATTCTGCACTGAACAAAACAGACTAGTCAGAGGCACATGTCACACTTGAGCAAGTCCTTGGTCTTTCTAATCCACAGCATTGACCAGTTCCCCATACTTCAGAGAAAGGGGAAAAAGAAATCTTGCTGGTACAAAAGCGTACTTAGCTAGTTGTGTGATGTATAAGGTGCATGTAAGGAACATTAAGATCCCATCCGGGGCATCAAAACAATATACTGAGCATAACAATCCCAGCCACAAGACAGGGCTGTGGTTTTACCCTGGAAGGGGATGGGCACCAGAGAAAGCAGCTGCCTTCTGTTCACGTGGTGGGAGAGACAGTGAAATGGGAAAGCAAGAACTTACCTTCACTCCATCTGACTTCTTGTTCAAAAAAAAAGAGAAGCAGGGGAAGTAGGTCAGATTTTGGTTTCAAGACTATTCTCTCTCTCTCTCTCCCCACTTCCCTCAAAACTGCACGAGACTTCAGAAGGACTGTTAATTCCTCTCTAACAGCAAGAGACCTGGTCACTCATCAAATCCATCCTGATGGTAGAGGGTCACCCATCCTATCTACTGTTCATCTAATTAGGCAAAAACGCCCCCACTTTCACCATTTCAGGAAGACCAAGTCTGAAATGAGATTTTAGAGCTCCTCTATTTGAATCCTCCACTCACACAGTGACCCCATCCAGAAGTACCAGCAGTTCCAGGGGAAAAAGCTAAAGAAACCTGCCAGATCTTTGCAACAGGATAAAGACTTTACCCTCAACTGCAGCCATTCACATAACAGACTTTGCTTATAAAGGGGGCACTGATAACGCAGAGGCCTCCTAATTACTGCTATTTGCAGTTACCCTGGGGAAACATCTGGATAGCTGAAAGGAAGAGACTGGAGAAATGCAAAAGGCAGCGTCTGATAACTGTTAAAAAAATAAAAGGGAGAATAAGAAAAGAGACAGGAACAAGGCTGAATTTCTTCACTGAAAGATAAAGATGCTCTGCTGTGCTCAACTTGAACAACTGGCACTAGCAGTGAAAGCAAGAGCGTAAGCACACACAGGGAACCCACAACAAATGCCTGGTAGAAGGCACACTTGGGACTGATGAAGAAGCTGCTCCGTCTATTACAGGAAAGTGGTATGTTGACAATGACTGTCAACAGTAAGACCCCATCTGCAACCTCAATAGATATAAAACATAGCTTGCCTACTCATGAAGAATGTATTCTTTTGTTTCAACTTCTGTAAACAGCACACTAGAGATCTACTGAACCAACACACTGATACGCCTCTCCTAAGCAGCTGCTGGGAAGCATACGGGTCTGGGTACTTGACCTGGATTTTAGCTCCGGCAAAGATAAGGCCTAGAGAAAAGGCAAGTCCTAAGACACTGCTCACGTGACGGTTGAAATACTTCACTCTCAAAGACACGCTGACCAACTCGAGCACAGAGTGCTCAGTCTCTCTCTAGAAGCAGCTACATTAGGCAAAAATGTTTTTGCAATATCCAAGCAACAGTTTAAGTTTTGTGTCAAAAGTATTTTCCACCCTGCCTTCCCTACCACATGACCCTACAGATATGGATTAAGTACACAACATCGGCTAAGCTGGTGCAAATGACTACAATGTCTCCTCACAATAAAGAGGCGGCACCCTATATAAGTTTATTACAATTTCTGAATCGGTCTTCCTAATTCTACTCCCTAATGCAAATATAAAACTAGATCAGGAATTTGTCTTTATTCCTGCTCTCAGAAACCATCCAAGAACACTGGAAGAACCTCGTGCAGAGGTTTTCTGAATGTGATGTGTCAAAACACAATGCTCTAACGTGCACACTAAAGGTGGGCAGATAAATTGTCCCAAGCAACTCATCTGCCCTGCAACAGTTTCTTTGCTGAGTGTACACTTAGTAAAGCATTGCAAGACTGAACTTAACAAATAAGTTCTTGCCACCTTCAAGGCATGATGAAAGAGACCAGCTTGATTCCACATGCAAGTGAGAAGGAGAACAGAGGTGACCATGGCGTCAAAAGGGGTCCAGCGTTTATACCACACATATATCAAGGCATCTCACAACAACTGTTGAAAACAAGAAACTGTTATGGCCTTACAACACTTCAGAAGGAGTAAAGGATTCTGCAACTTAACAAGTATCAAAAATGGGACATTCCTGAAGTAAAAAAAAAACATCAGAGAAGGGAAACAGCACCACCATATGTCCTGGGAATGACCCAGATACAAACTGGGAAGCAATGTTTTTCACACTTTCTGCAGTTTCCCCAGAAGCTCACATTTGTCTTTGTGGAGAAAAGACACCTAAAGTCACGTTTTATGGCGTTAAAGCAAATTCAGCTGAGAGCCCTTCCATGTGGCCCAGCGCCATGTAATGCTGATCCAGTGCTCCCCAGTGCAGCCGGCCCACCTAGCCCCCTCCCCTGCTTGTACCTCCGCACAGCACACACTGTTCTCTCACGGGCCCAGCACGGCAGGAGGAAACTCGGTCTGTGGTGTATTTAGTTCATGCATCATACTGTGGTTTGTAAGGACAACTGGAGAGCCCATGAAATGCATTCACATGCAAAGATGACTGCAGACACCTCAAACAAAAGGGAGGCATGCAGATTTACCCACAGGTCAACGTGTACATGTTATGAGACAGAAATTAAAGGGGATGCAAGTGGAATTTCTGCAGCAAACAACAGACAACACTTCCTGTAACAAGAATAATTTTAGAAGACAGGCAGCACCACCCAACACGCAGCTTAGCAAACAGACAACAGGAGGGGGAAAATCCAAGGACGCATGAAGGTAGATTCTTTACTATTCAGGAAACGGTCTTGTGCCCGTGCTCTGCAGTTTTCCAGGCATGAGGTACTAATATTTATTTTCACCATCCTTCCCACTTCCTCCAAACGTTAAAGGGATTAAATTCCCTCTTCTCTGTGGAATTAACAGTTCCTCTATAATGAAGCAATACAAAGGCACACACTGCTAACCCGGTAGCTTAAAAGCACAGTTCTGTTCCTGGTTTAACAGGACACCCTCCAGTTAATCTCTGAAGAGAAACACAAAAGGCCTCCCCTGTAGACACCCCATATACCCCTCCCTCTTCCCATATTTCTCAGTTTTGGCCTCCATAGGAAATAGCCTGGGCTCTGGACCATGCTCTTGGCAGAAACACAAATCTGTAATGCTGAACTCATCAGCAATAAACACTAGACACTCTGGATGTACCAGAGCCAAGGGGGTGGTGGAGGAGGGAATTTCCAAGAGGGACTGAAATACCCACTCCAAACACAGCCATGGATAATGCCTCCCCCCGCTGCCAGCCCCACTCCTCCTCTTCCAGAGAGAGCAGTCCTTCGCCCAGCCCGCCCTGGGTTTGCCCTGTCCCCAGCTGTCAAATCTCAGTTACATTTCTCATCTTGGTTAAGCTTCCAGAAAGTATTTTTTGGGATGCAGGGATAACGCTGAGGTTGCTTTTGTTAAGCCTGACTAACTCATGATGCTAGTCTAACAGACAACCCAGCTTCTAAATACAAGCACTTCCACCATGAAGAATTTTGGACTTTGCTAAGACTTGATTACTAAAATAAAAATCGTATCATACCAACACAGAATTCCCAATGACACAGAGTTGCGGCTTGTCATCCTCACATTCTCAGTCCACAGATTAACTAATTCTCAACTCAATGTCACTTCTGGGTCTTACCACAAACCAACCAAGAGCCAGTATATAGCCATGAATGAAGAGGCACCTCCGGCTACCATTACAAACAATGCCCACAAATGCAGTGTAACTTCAAGAACATCTATTTATTAAGGACAAGATAGAGCAAAGACTGATGCTTAACTCTCTGCCACGATGGCTGTTTAGGCACAAGTCACTCTAGCAGCGGCCATTTAAACACAGCAGAGTGATTTCACAGAAGAGAGGGGAGTTGTCTTGTGTTCTCTACCCTCACTTTGGTTTCTGTCTCAGCAGTCCCCTTTCTCTTAGATTCTCCAGTGACTTGCCATGGGAACTTGTGGCAATAGCAATCGCACTGGAACGCTATGCACTAAGTGGGAGACCAATACAAAGACTACCTATTTGCATGGAATAACTGCCTGGCAAAATTTACAACGTGGACTCTTTATCTTGCTGAAAAGTTTTGGTTTTTTTTAAATCCTGCTTTGTTATTAACTCCCTCTGCCTCCTGAAGGACACCACTGTTCCAGAAACATACCTGAGCAATAGACAAGCAGCAACATTTAACATCTCCCCCCTCAATGAAAAGCCTTCCATCAGGGCTTCTATTCCTCAACAAGACTAGAGTGATTCTGTTCAAAGAACTGCTACAGGATAAACGAAAGGTCATGAAAAGCTGTCAGACACTTCAAAACACTCTTTTTAAAACAAGCAGACAGAGAAGGGTAGAACCAGGTGGAAAGGCAGGTAAAAACCCCAAACGACTAGGCAATGCAAGCCTTTATGTGATCTGGACCCATGGGATCTCTAGACATAGCAGACACCTTCTTTCCTATCCAGTTAATCTCATCAGGCACAGCCAATGCCTAACACTGTGCACATACTTCCAATGCTTTGGGAAAATCTCAAGGGTAGATACTGTTTGAAGATGCACATCCATCTCCCAGAGATGCCCCAACAGCTTTCAGAGAAAGGTTAAAAGAGTGAGCATTCATTAAAACTAAAGCCTGAAATACACAACCCAGTGGTGTCCTCTTGGCACGAGCCACAGAGCTCCCAGTTGTCCCACTAGTGAATAATGAAGAAATTGTGTGGGAGACAGGTGATTTCCTTCTGCTTTTTTCGCCTCTGCCAGCCTCAGAAAACCAAAACATTCTCCAGCAAGAATATGTACAAAAAGCCAAAAACCAGAAGCCAGCCTGACAGTTTGTGACATTTCAATTAATGTTTTCAAACACCTTCCCACCAACGCAGAGATTGCACATCCTGAAAGACGCTCTCTCTGCAGGTATGCATACGTACACACATAAGCAGGAGCAGAACCTTAAAGGGTCAAAACAGTCTGAACACCCATCCTAGACTTTTGAGCCTGAATGCCCCAGTCTGTCCCAAATTCAAGAGTTGATAAAAATATGAGAGCACCTCTCTTGCAGTATTATAAAAACTCCATTTCCTGACAAACCAAGAAATGAAGAGGTGAAGGGCAAACACTACAAGAAAAGGCATTCAGAGTTCTCCTGAACTTTAGGCAGAGGAAGATGAAAGTAAAGGGAATTATTATAATAATTTAAATCCACTTTTGATGATAAATTAGACTCTCAGGCCATAGTGATAAACATTCAAATGCAGCAATGAAATCCATGTGATTCTGGGAAGCTGCAAAGTGGAAGTTGACTTACTGAAGTACACTACTTCAGCAGGTCCACACTGTAGTAGTTGAGCACCATTCTCTGAAATCTCTGACTGTTTCTCAAGCAGCAGAGTAGATACAGAGAAATCACTTAAAAACAACTTAATTTTTCATTAAATGTGACCTCATCTTCTGCTTGGGAAATGTGGTTCCCAGTGATCCCATACTCATTTATTCAAAGCTCTCTGGAAACATCTTGATAAATTTTTCCCTCCATATTTTCATCCTTTGAATTCACATGAGTCAGGTGATACAAATTTCTGGTCCTGAATGGATATCTAAATAACTAACACAACACAGCAGAAACTTCAAATATATTACTCGCACAATTTTAACTTTACTTTGGTTAAAGGAAAAAAACCAAATTCCAATCTAAGTGTGCATATATATAGATATAGATATAATGTATACACAAAATAGCAAAAATTCAGTTTCACAAGCACTTCTGGAAGGCAGGCATAACAGGACAGTGAAATATTTCAGGACCACTTCAGTATTTGTATTATTTCCTTCTTCTTGCTCTTTAGTCAGCTCAGAAATGTGTTTATACAGGTTAGACCAAACATGCATAGGCATAGTCAACCCTTCTTTACTCAGTTAGAAAGCACTCTGCTCCCTGGATCTGCCTCCAGCCTCTCTCAACCTCACCTATCTAGTTAAAAACCCCAAACTTCACATCGGAGAGTTAGTAAGGATCTGTAGAGACATGTAATGAATTCCAGCTATTGTCACAAGCTGCCATAATAGCTCCCTCACAAAACTGACTTGAGCAAGCAGTGACAATTCCCCCAGAAAAAGCACAGCATCAGTTAAAGATAGAGGTTTCAGGCACAAGGCTTAATTACCTGCAAAGTCTTAGGATCTATTTTGAACACAGGGTAGCACACAGGACTTGCGCTGAACCACTTAAGAGAAGTGAATTTCATAGAGTGTGAAAGCTTGTTGAACAATTCCTCCGCAAATTAACAGTTGCAATCCAGTTAGGAAAACAGTGCTAAGAATTTCACGTAGTCCACTTGGTAAGCCTTGCCTAAAAATTAACTTATGGAGAAAAGCCACTTCTCAGCACTTTGTGAAGATGGTTGTTTCCAAGACGAAAACCAGTTTTGTCCATCCTTTCACTCAGTTTATAGCAGGCTTACTTACAGAGTTTTATCTACATAAATGAGTCCAGGCACCCTGAAATACCACAGCTATCAGGAATCTCTGAAAACCTTGCCAACTTTCTCCCAGTAATAAATTAACATTTACTTCTCAGAAGGTGATTTAGGAGTTTCTTGCATATGATCTAATCAATTGATTTACCTGACTGTACTTCTGTATTCTGTAAATGAACGCAGATCAGATCAGTGTTTGCTTGGACCATCTGAACATCAAAAGCCACAAGTGAGCACCCAAATCATCCTGTGTATACCCCATCGTGACTCTAAAGATCCCATAGTGAAGTTTAGATTGCAATGTTCTCTCTCGCAGATGACTGAATACCTTCCAGAGTGTGGACAGAAGCTACAAACCCTTTATTATAGCTAGGTCTCAATTTCCTGACTTATACTGAAAGGAGTGCAACTGTATCTGCTTTTAACAAATAGTCTACAGCTGACCTGAGATACAATCTTTTAAACAGAACCACCAACAGCCAATATTAAACTATTGAATATACCGTAACTGGGGAAAGGAGCCAGAACACATTCCTTTATCTTTAGGAACTGACCTGGGGCAAAAGGCACCTAGCAAGCAACAGATTACTCACAAAAGAACAGAAACTTTTTTTTTGCTTTGTAAAAAGTAAGATTTTTTGATGGGAAAATAAGAGAAAGAGTACTGCTACAGACTCTTTAAGCATACAATTTGTCACAAGCTAAAACCACACTGTCAAATGAAGGAACTCCACATTACAAAATGTGTGACAGAGGAGATAGTAATGACAACAGGATTAAAGAAGTCATCTCATATTTCCTGCAGATAGTACTATCGCGCCTAATTAACTGATACCAGGGTCACATGAGCCTTCGTTTTCCTCTTGGTTCAAAACATCTGTGAAGAAGCTTTTAGAAGATCTCATCCCCAGACAGGAAGAAGCTTCTCTCTTCATAAATCAAGTTCCCTGTCTGCTGGGAATGGGGCTTTTACAGGCCCACAAAACACTGTCACCCAATTAGAGAAAATAAAACCCCCTTAAGGTCTTTAGGGAATTTCAGAACTTCTCAAGCGCAGTTAGATGACCTGTCATGATAGGAAAAGTCTGAGCTCTACCCAAAGTTCCCACATGGACTTTCTAAGTTTTTACTTTCAGTTAGCGTGTACTTATTCTTCAATTCCAGCAGATTTATGTATTTCAACTGCAGCACTTAAAAAACCTAAGTAAATTAAAAAATAATAATCATAAAAAAAAGTCAAGCTCATATTACACACAGTCCTGCAAAGAAAACAAGAGCAGCTGATCTCCCCACTTTCCAAACACATCAAAATATTAGGAATAGCTACTATCCGCAGAGGCTATAAATGCTTTGCATCTAAATTCACAACATTTCTTTCTGGACAGTTTTTCAGAGCGTCTCATTACCTGGGATCACAGCTGGGATCAAAGCAGAACTCAGTGATACTGAGAACCCTGCATTCACTATGGGCCACCTAGGATTTCCTTTTCTTCAGCTGTTAACTGAAGCAGATCCAACAGCTTCAGCCTTTGAGACCGAGAAGAATGAGCAGAGCAAGCTTTTTCCTCCTCGATACTAGCTCAGGGAATAAGTGAATGTATAGGTCACACACCATTAAGGAGAACCCTTCTCTCAGGCATTTCATGTGCTCAAAATCTGGGCCACAGGAGATTTTCTTACCCAAACACTTCTGCAGCTTCATTACAAGTGACAACATTTGCAGGCTAATAATGAATCTAAAACTGCTGTTCAAAAAAAAAAAAAAAAAACCACAACAAACAAACCCTGACTATTTCAGAATCATCAATTACATGAAATAAAAACTAGCTGTGTGAATAGATTGAAAACCATTCACACCAGCAGAAAGCCCAAGAAAATGTTAAGTTTTGCACAGTCCTGCGGAAGCCCTGTCATTGTGCCATAGCTCCTCAAACAGTTATTTCAGAATCATTCTCAGAAAACAACGTATAATTTTTAAGTCCTGTAATAGCACAATCCTGGGACAGATGAATGGAGAAAATTATTCTGTCCCTTTAAGGCCAAACTATCAGAAGTGCAGTAAAGAGAAATTGCTGTAGCCACAAGTAGTCCTGACATATCGGCACAGGTTCACCTGAAAGCAAGAACCGAGCAAGGAAAATTGTAGCTTGATCTCACATCCTTTGCTTTTTTTTTTTTTTTTTAAATCACCATACAGGAGGTTGAAAATGCTGCCTTGATTTCACACAAGAATGTATGCATGAATGCACACTTTGAATGCTGGGATGATCATTTCACAGAGGTTTTCATTCCGATTAAAGTTTATTGTACCATCACGCAGAATATAAGTATTGGTATCCACCATTAGCAAATGGCCAGGTGAAATTAATACACTTCTATTTCATTCATCTGATCATCACTTATAATCCATACAGCAGACTTTCACTTGAAAGTAACTGTAGTCAGGTGCAATAAAAATCTGATTCATGCATTTAATGATTGCCTTTTTTAAAAGAGGGGAAAAAAAAAAGGCAAAGAGGGCAAAGAAAGCAAACAATTCCATAAACCAAAAGCACTTGCAAATAGAGGTTTTGCACCCAAATGGAAACGAACACTGATAAGACTGCAGCACCTAGATGTGCTGAGCCAAGACAATCATCTTCCAAAAAGCACTCATTTGCATGTTGAGATTTCCATTTTCAGTAACTGCACTACGTAATGCAGTTGGGTGGGAGCCAGACTACCAGTTATTAAGCTTAAAAGGATGAAAACCACTTCTGAGACTCCAAGAAGGAAAACTCTAATAGCTACATGCTTCAGACCCATTTTTGATGAGTCAAAGTAATACAATAACCAAATAGCTCCTGTCCCTATTCTCACCAATATTATCACTTGCTCTATATCCCTGCCTCAGGTCTAAAGGAATCACTGCTACCTAATAAGAGTTCTTTACTCCTGGTTTCAGATGGGAAAGCTAACAAATGCCAGCTAGAATCTCCCCAAAATAATCTGATAACAAAATATCATGAGAGGATTGTGGCAGCTGACTTTATTTCTGTTTTGTACCAGACTACAGCGCCATGTGCTTCTCCCCAAACAAATCACTTCCTATTTCACACTGGTGACCAGCCAAGACAAAGCGACCACCATTACACCATGATGAATTGTGAGCATGTTTCCTTCCCTCCTACTCAACTCCAAAATGGTTAAAATATCCTCTGACTCACTCACACAAAACAAAACGAAGGAAGGGATGGGAACAGTGAGAACTTACCTGAAAAGTTCCGAGACACAAGCATCGTCGTGAGGATTGCACCCTGTGGGGAAGAGAAAGCAGGGATAACAGACAGGGTCACTCACTTCAGAAAGGGGCTGGGCTGACCCATGGAGAACACAGTGCATCAGGTGCCAAAGCAGAAGTATCCCAATGCTACCCTGGAAAGCCCTAGCGTATCCAGGATTCCCACATGTGGCTGTTGGACCTGACGCGGGACCACTCGGAGTCCTGCCTTGCTAGAGCAGCAGCTAGAGACCAGACAGGACAGCCTAGGAAATCTAAAATGGCACTAGGAGTTATGTTCAGACACATAGTTGCTTCCTAACTTTGAAACAGCAGACAGCTGCTTTGCCAGGAGCTTTACCCTAGCTACAGGCAACTGATACGCTATTACTGGGAGGCAGAGAGTGATCGAAACTAAAAGTCCCAGAATTTAAGAACTAGTTGCTCTATTTCAACTCTCTTGTAGGAGGTAGAAGGGGTGATTATGTAGCAGAAGAGGCATGGGAAACCTACAGCTTTGGAGAAAGAAACTACCCAGCTCCTCAAAACACTTCTTTAGTACCCTGTACTGGAGGACCACATAAGGTACTTCACTAACGTTAGTGAGCTAATCATAAAAAAAACACATTGTTGCTAGAAAGGCATTAACCTCAAATTCAGAGGATTAAAAACAAACTTAAGGCAAACTAACATATACTTACCTTTAGCTTCCTTCTGGCATTGAACTTTCTCAAGCATTCCACAGTCTCCTGCCTGTGCATCATCGAAGCGACAGTGGATCGTTGCTGAAAAACAGGAACAGCAAAAGATCAAGAATATACCCTAACCAAATCAGCCAGGGGCATTCTCACCACTTGCACACAACCATGACATGCGAGCTGACATTGCCAAGCCTCTCACCACTACATGGCTACAAAACACTGCAATCAGTTCATAATTAAAGAACTTCCCAACACAGCAAGTCATGTTTAGTCAAGGTTGGCTATTACAGGACTGTGCCCAAGAAACTATGTGACTGAGGCACAGGTGAGAATCAACGTTCCCTGTGTCTCAGGCACACAAATGGATCAAGACAATAAGAAGACAAAGTCAAATGAACAAGCACACCCATGGGGGACTGAGTTAGAGGCACTACAGAAAAGATCTGGGTTGCATTAGTTACAGCTCTAAGGGAAAATTCCAAGCAGTACGTGAATACTAGTGAGCGGTAGCCTTCCTGGACGTGGCAACTCCCTGAATATAAGTATTTGACTAGCAGAGACCTCGGCATCTTTGCATCAGTTTTGCAGAAATAGATTTTCAGTGTGTAAGAGAAAAGATCATATAGCTCTATTGTACCAATGCAAAAATCTGAGCATAACCTCTAGCCAGTGATGCACACCTGTCACCCACAGTAGACAGGGATCCCATTAGCTGCAAAAAGAGAACTTCCCCAAAGAGTTGCCAGTCATTGAGAGCACATGAGGAAACCAGAGACTGATGCTGCCAGGCATTTAGAGCACATGAGGAAACCAGAGACTAATGCCAAAGTAGCTGTTGCTCTTGCATAGAGCCACAAGCCTCAATTCCCTTTACAAGGTCAGTGGGTGAATGACTAACTTGGCAGATCAGTGTGTACAAACCCTCCATTACCTTTCTCCTGCTTGGAAAAAATTCTGCAATACCCAAAAGTATAAACCATGCTCATATTTTGCTAGCTTCATGGGAAGTCTCTGCTTTAATCCTGTCAAAGCTAGTCACTTGCTGCAGTACACATGGCAGTGTGGAGGGAGAACGTAGCTAAACTGTCCTCTTTAACAACTTCGATGGTTACTGTTCATTCAGCCTCCTTAGGAGTGACAATGATGTCCAGTTGTTCAATGTGGGCTTAGAAGAGTCAGGACACGTACTTCAGAAGTTCAGTGATGCTAAGAAACTCAGTGTCTCAGATAAACCATTAAGATTTCCTACCTCATTTACTTCAGAGGAGCAATACACCTCCAGAAAGAAAACATCTGTTGCACACATAGAGACTGCACAGCAAATGGAAACAAGAGACTCAACAGGAGGCAGTTTGGGTGAGAGGCTGAAATGGCTGTGAAGTAAAACCGAACTCCCCATAACTCAGAGAAGGAAAGCCTCTCTTGAACTGTTCTATATTGTGTTGCCACAGGGAGCGAGCTATCATAACACATACAGCTTTGGTTACAGGCATTGGGACAAAAGTTAAATATACAGGAACTGCTATTGATTACAAGCATGCAAGAAGAAAAAAAACAGAGATGCAAAGTCTCAGCTAGTGTGAAATTTTGACTTCCAAGGAACTTGCATCACTTTACAGCAGACTCTACACTCCTGTGACACAAATGTTCACATAAGTAAGTTTAAATTGCTAATCTGTTGTTTTGTGGCGGAAGGAAAAAACCACCACAGTTTCTCAAGAAAAAAATGAGCGAAGGAACATACTAGACACATCCTAGAAAGCAGAAGTATGCTATGGTATTACAAGAGCATCTGGTTAGATTTAGGTGGAACTATTTCATCCTGCAGAGATAAAAGTGCACCATTGCTGCCCTCCCCTACGCCCACTCCCAGCTGCATTCCGGGATTTCCTTGCCAACTTTGCAAAGGATGAAAAATATTCACGTGTGGGGTCTGGCAAGGCAGAAACTACATGCACAGAACAGCAAAAGATTTTTCACCGATTTCAGGTTTACAGCCAGTTAAGCTGCAGCAGAGCAGAAATGTTCCAACATTGCAAAGATGCAATGCAATAAACTGAAGTAGAGATGAAGAACAAAATAATCCTAAAATATTTTGCCTGATGCCAAACTCCATCTGACATTTTAGGATGATATGGATTGCAAGAGGAGATGTGGGGAAAACCAGAAACTATGGACATTCACAAAACTTCTAAAAGAATAAGGGATTTTTTTTTTCCTACCGTGGCAATAAAAGCACCACAGCATGACAAAGTTGGCTTGTTGAAGGTCAGCCTCCAAAAAAATCACATTTTGAAATATTTAAAATATTCTGGGCTCCTCTGCAGCTAAGTCTTCTTGACATGTCAGTTCAGGGTAAACCACAAATCAATCCGTAATAGAGGAAAACACTTACACAGACCCATGGATGTTTGAGAGCCTGGTCAGCTGTGATGCGCTTTGCTGGGTTTATCGTCAGCATCTGGTTGATCAAATTCTTTGCTTCAGGAGTCACAGTGTCCCACTCAGGTGATGGGAACTGAAAGAGGAAGAAGGAACAGATGAACTGAAAATATCTTCTATTAGCAGAAGAGATTCTCCCTCCTACACAGCTGAATTCCAGCTTTTGCCCTTTTGATACCACGGCTAACATATTTGCAAAAAACATCAATTTGTGTGAAAATCCACACTGAATGAAAATCGTACAGAATCCAGCAAATGAATGGTACCAGACAGCAGGATACACCTGTACCATTCACCAGACACAGGCACAAAGATTAACAGTTTACAAACCTTTTAGGAAATCACTCAGACCTTTGAATTTCTTTCACACTCAACAGTCAAAAAAGTAAAGTCACAGATCTTCTTAACTGAGTTCTGACATGAAAAAACACAAGCACTATCTTTTTTACCCCACCTTGCTCTTTCTCCAGCATGCTAAAAAGCTGTAACAGCATATGCAAAATCACAAACGCTTAACTACAGCAAAACCTCGTGCAAGTGAAAACTGCTAACAGAGAACATCCCATCAGGTATACTTTCCCACCATAACGCACAATATCCTGGAACAATACCAGTCACTTAGGTGTAGCAACCCACCAGCAAGTTGTTAGCAAGCATCTACCATACCAGAAATCATTACTTGGGGAGCAAGAGAGATGTAATAGTGGATGGGAATACAGAAGCATGGAAACAAAGAAAAGAATCTCAAGTATTTCAGTTGCTGATCATCCATGAGGGGTAACTGCTCTCTCCTATAATTCCAGTTATGATAAAGATGAGATATTTACGCCATCCTCCAGATGCTTGCATGTGGTATAGATCACAGCATGCTGAGATTAAATGCAGTAGGTCTTACTCCTATGAATCTACTGTACAAATACAGGTGCACTTGAAACACAAAGATAAATGTGCTGTTGAGATAGAAGTCCCCTGTCTTTAAGTGGGGAAAGATTGATCTATCCTGAGAACATTTCCTTACAGTACTACAACATTTAGAAAAAGTTTATCCCATCTCTTTTCTCCTGCATTTTGTGCTTTGCTCAGTTGGGTCATAAAAATACACCAACCATATTTGATTTCCATATAATCTTATTTCTGCATTCTCAGGCATCAGCAAGGCATTATACAATTTGTTCTGCAAACGTTGCAAGAGACTACTCAAAAATTATGATACTGAGCTTTCAGCCAGGACACTTTCCCCCAACCTGAACTCTGAAGTATTCATGATAATGCCTTGCAAACCCCTTACCCAACAGCACAAAGTCCAATTCACAGTTGCCACTTCCTCTATGATCAAGAGGTAACAACAGACCAGTCCAGTGCATACTTGGTGCTGGGGTAAGGACACCAGGGGCAGGTACGCCAGTAAAACTTCAGCTGTTTTCTACCAGGCAAAACAGGGGAGGAATCTACTGGAACTTGTTCATTATAGGTAAGAATTCAAAACCAGCAGGTAGATAAGAGGCATCAGGCACTTCACTCCTCATGACTTACAGAAAGAGTTAGACATTTAACCCCTGAAGTGCTTTGAAAATCCCCATCGACACAATTAGTGTAAAAACACTTCAAATGACAACAAGCAACACAGAAACAGGAGGGGCACGAAGGCAAGAGAAGAACACGAGTTCATTTAAGGCTATCAAGTACAAAGACATCACTTTCCTTTCACTCAGGAAGCCACTGAGCCAGGACATGGGGTTAGGCAGACCTTTGTTCTCACCAGCACAGCTGCTCTCATGGTCTCAGGCACAGAAGGTGGCAGGTAACTGGGGTCCAGCAAAACCCTCGCTTTTTTTCTTTTTTTTTTTTTTTTTTTTTAAAATACAAACCACGAGATAGCCTACAAAATGAACTCCCCAACTTCCTCTTGATATTCATGCCCACAGGCTTTGAGCTAGGATTTCCAGGAGTTCCTTATTTCCTCCCAAGTCTTTTCTTACCTGGAAGAATTTATGTCAAACATTCAAGCTGTGGTACTCAAACCTCACTTTACACCACCTTTGCTTCCCAGTACTAACCTCCTTGCTATTCCTCTCCTTCAGGCACCTTTTTACACCTCAGTTTTGCCATGTTCTGAGAACTGTTCCATGAACTGCTTGGCTTTTTACCAGAGCCTCCAACCCACCACGCTGATCCCCACCACAAAGCCACCCCTCCAAAGGTCCCCGCCATTCAGTCTTCTCCCTGGGCTCCACGCTTTCCACAGCTGGAAGAAATTCCACTATGACAGTGAGGAGACCAGAGGCCATAATTTAAGCTATTATTCTACAGAATACTTCCCCATACTTTTAATTAGGCCTTGATAAAGACAGGCTCCTTCATTCTACCTTCCCTCTGCTCCCCTGAAAGAGCTAGTATTGGCTACGTCTGCAGCACTTTGTGGTAAATGCACTAGAAGACACCATTTCCCACCATCTGCAATTCCAGCTCTGCATTTCCCTAATGACCAGCAATGTCTTGGTGCCCACTGCGATGCTTTCCACATATCCTTTCAGTAGCCCCGAACAGGACTGTATCCCAGGCAGTGAAGACAACGAAGTGTACGAACACGCCAAACATCACTTTGCACAGTAGCTTGGGGCCTGCTGCTGGACACCAAGTAAGATAGTGCCATGTTTTGGTTGGCTTCTACACCCATGCAGGTACTCAGCAAGAAAGTGCCCTTACGTCATAGGCTCCGGCTTTGATCTGCTGATAGAGTTTGTGCTGATCTTCATCCCAAAAGGGAGGGTACCCCACTAGTAATATGTACAGAATCACTCCTGGGAGGGAGAGACACAGATACACTATGGTTAGGCTAATATGCCAATTATTCCTTCAGCCCCTCTTCCTTCCCTCTTGACAGTCCCCAAGGCAATGATTCCTCTATATCTTCATTTGCCACCATATTTAGCCTTCCGAGATAGAAAAAGACAGTTCAAACCACTCCTCTGCTGAATCTCACCCTGGCGCTTTATGTTCAGCTCTTAATGCCAGCTGCCAGGAGCTAGAACAAGGTGCATGATGTCCCTTCATCATGCTATTCCTCCCCTGGCTATCATGGCTGGTGAGCCACAACTCCCAGCTGCTCTCAGAATAAAATGAAACCACATCCCCTGGGGTTGCGGGGCAGCAAGGGACTTTTTAGGAAGGACTAGGTTTTTAGATGCTTACTGTGCATGGTCTTGGGACAAAAATGCCACTGACAAAACTAACACTCCTGGCCTGCAGAGAACCATTTAGTCCATGTTAGGCAACACTGATATCACATATCTTTAAATTATTGGTCCCAGATACATTTACACTTCATTTTTTCCTTTTAAAAAAATCAGGTCTCTTCAGTATTTCATCATCTACAAAGTTAGTGTAATAGGAAATTGTTACAGTTATCTAAACAACTGACTCTGCAAAGCATAGACAGGTCCTATCTCTTGAGTCTCAAACATCTGATAGATGGCCTGAGGAAAGGATTAGGAGCCAGAATCAAATGAGTTCAGGCTCCAATATTAACTCAATCTACACAAGGTGCTTATCCTCAAGTGTGCCTTCATCTCTCCACCCAATAAGAAGGAGCACTGCACACCCTCCCAGCAACAGGTTATAAGGAATTGCTCTCCTACATGAAACACTGGTGTTTAAGTGTGAAACAGTTTGACAGAATCTTACCACATGCCCATATATCCACTGGTTTTCCATAAGGATCTTTTCTTAAGACTTCAGGGGAGAGGTAGCCCGGAGTGCCAGCAAACCCTGCCAGGAAATGGATGACATGAAGTACTTACAGTACCCAAGCAGAAGAAGATCTTGCCATATCACAAAATCCACTAGTGGTAACCAACAAATTCCAAAACCCATTTCCCACCCTTCATCTCATATTTGCTAGAGCAAACCAAGAGAAAGGGGGGGGGGCGGGAATCAGGTGGGATTGAGTATCTATGTACTGCAGGAAAAACAGAAACGAGGGACCGTGTCAACCAGCTGGGCACAAACTTGTATGCCAGGCCTTATATCATTGTTACCTATAATGGCTTGGAGTTTGAAAACACAAGACACAGATGGGACACATCCGATTGCCAAATGGTGTGGGCAGACCAGGAGAAGCAGCCGTCTCTCCAGAAGCTCTGCACCACGCAGAGTCTCAGAGCTGATGTTTAGCCTGAGAAGGTCTCATTTCTAATTATGTTTTAGCTAAACAAAGATAAGGCCAGATCCAAATGTGCCTGAGGAAGGCCAGGTCAAATGCATTTCTGTAAAATGACCAAACAAAATTCCAGATGTCTACACTCCTGAGCAGTAGGAAAGTTCAGATCAGGGTCTAAACTTAGCAGCTGCATTCATCTCTAACACTAGCATCTACTGTAAACCAAGAAGAAAAATAGAGAAATACACAGCCTTTTTTTCTGTCTTTATTTATCATATTCTTTCCTCTATTGCACCTAGGCTCGTGCCCAAGGACCCAGAGGCTGAGATGCTTGGAGAGAAAGTGGCAATGCCAAATACATACACGTGTGCTGGAAGAGCTGAGAGAAAACACTCAGGGAGGGTGCAACCCAACCAGCCACCAGGAAAGGGGGGAGCAAAAGTGGGAAAGCTCAAACACTCTTACCAAACCAGGCCTGCTGCTCTCCCTGGACTTCTATAGCCAGTCCGAAGTCAGCCAGTTTGACAGCAGCACCCTTACATTTACTTGCCAGTAGTAAATTCTCAGGCTGGGGAGAAGAAAGAAAAAAGGGAGTAAAAATGAAAGACAGACATCCTCGTTAAAGCCTCCTACCTCACTATTCACATCACTAAATTGAATCTGCTGACTGAATTTAGCAGGCATGTACTAAAGCTGTTCAGGTGAAGGCAGAGCAACAGCAACAAATGGCCTTGACCTAGAGTGGCAGAAAATCCTCAAGTCTAACAGAAATCCTCTGTGGGAGCCAGAGCCTCTCCCAACTCAGCCCATACATTACGTGCTGACACCAGAGGGCACTGGCAGTACAGTTCCTGCAGCACAGAACCCAAAATTTGTTTCTGTCATCCCCGCAGAGAGTAACTGGGGGGGGAGGGAAGGGGGCAAAGATGCAGTAGGTACAATCTGCAGTGATGTTTCTCCCCATGAACATTACACAGTCCCCAAGGCACTGGAAAAGTAAATACGATGCTAATAACGGCTGCCAAATACAGCGCCGTAATGTGGGAAGGCATCATCTGGATAGGCTGTAGCTTTCATCCCTTACAGAAAAAGCCTCAGCCTCAAATTGGCATAAGCAGCACAGCAGTGAGTATTCTTGTAAGCTGGTTTTTCATGCTACATACTTACAGCAGCGTAAAATATGCTGTCTTGCTACTGCTGCTGTCACCTACACAACAAGCAGCCATGTCACTTCCCCATGTGCCAGGAAAGGGAGACAGACTTTTGCCCCTCACATTTCTGCCTCACATGAATCTCCCTCGAATCACGATTTTGTTGTGTTCCAGCAGAGGACTTCAGCAGAAGGCTTAACACAACTCCAAAAAGTATACTGAGAGTCAGCAGCTTCCTCTGAAGCAGCAGAGCAGCTAGTTACATGGGACCCTTTGATATCCCAAAGGCTTTAAGGTGGTGGCTACTACAGCTCTGCAGGAAACCCAACTTGTAGACAGCAGGACAAATGTGATTTCTCATCCTACCACCTTCTGATCATTTGTGCAATTCATATCAACTTGAGTTTTTAACCAAGCAAGATGGAAGCCTGGAAATCCAGAAACGGGAGCTTGTCTCAGTTTCACAAATCTGATTAAGGTCTTTTTTGTAGCCTGCTCACCAGTTTCATCCCATGGCAACCCTCTATCCCTGTTCTGCCTGACAGGAACAAGATGCTTTGCTCATTCACCTGCCTTTGAACAAAGGGAGAACAGCCTTGCCCATCACAGTCCTTGCCATAAGCAGCATGGAAGGAAGGGGAACTGGGTCTCAATACATTTGGATGCCACTGGCTTTTCACTATATGGGAAGTGGAAAAGATTATTTTAATCAACCTACACTGATGAAAATTTACCAGTGTAAACAAGTCCCCAAAGCAGAAGACCGATGAAGTCTTCTGAAAATCTCTCCCAACTGGGCTTTGCTTGACTAAGAAACAGTGAAATTTAGGCCAGGCTTGTGCTAGCTAACCACTATTTGCTTCTAAAATACAGCTACAAACACCTCAAGGCTAATGGTGCTTATCCATGTGCATGTTTGCCAATATATGGGTTGTCTCAGGTTTCACATACTTTTTGGTAAGGATGTGAGTGGATTCCCTAATTTCTTATGGTCCCTATGGGCAGCTCAACATTTGAAGTTCTTTAAGAGCATATCAGCCAAAAGACAGGCTTATGAGAGGGAGCTGCAAAAGACAAAACTTCACTCGAAGCAAATTCTGCAGTTATTACACACTGATCCTGAAGGCCAAGCTTTTGGCAAGGAGCTAAATATTAAATAAAGAGCACAGGATCTTTTATTGCTAAAAGGAATGGCTACTCCTCAGGCCTGGATAGTTTCAGTGAATCAGAGCAAGCAACAGAAGAAACACATTAACTACAGTGGGGAGTGTCTAGCAGCTGGTAAGTTCTAAACAAGTTCACAACTTTCACACAAACAAAACTTGGGAAGCAAAACAGATTATATCTGAACGCAGGATGCGAAGGAAAATTTAAACCATCCTGTACTGGAAAACACTACTGATTTTCACAGAGGCCCTAATTTTGGGCAGTAGTACCTCTTGGAGGCTGCTTTCTCAGGTGTCAGCTCTAATCCAGAGCAGCCATTCCGCAGTAGACCACTTGCATCTTTTCACACTGCTCTGAATCAGAAGGCCAAAAGTGTTGCATGGGAGTTTGCCAGAAACACTAAGGGTTAACAGCTGTCCGCTAGATCAAAACACTGGGGGAACACTGCCACCGAGCTTGCAACATGCTCTTACCTTGCTCTCTGCGAAGTATTTTTATCCTTTTCCCCTTATGCACTGTATAACAAACCAAAACCAACACTAGTAGCAGGTGTCATCCTGCATTAATTTAACTGGACCACTGGTGGCCATCACCATTCCCACTTTAGACAGAGAGAGCTGCAGGGCAGGCAGACCTTCCCGCACAAACCTCTTCATTCTGGGGCCTGCCCAGCTCCAGCTACAGCTGGCACTGCATGGGAAGGGAGTTTAAGTAACTACACTGCGGGGGCCCTGGGTCTATAAATGTGTTATAATGTGGCAAATGGTTGACTGACCCAGTGTTTAACTGGCCAGCAGTTTTGGTTTTAGATTAAAAGCATTTCTACTGATGAGATAAGAAAGAAATGACACGAAACATTCTTGTTGTGCATCTCTGTCCTAGCCCAATAGCATGTGTAGGGCAACAGTGCAGAATAAAAATATACATGCTCTGTGCAGACAAACTCATCCTGGCAGATTGAATAGAGATTGCCCCTGGTCTCTAAAGATCTCTTCAATGGCAGACTAGAAAGTGTCCTTCATTATCATGAATCCTACCCAAGTTTCTCTGAAAGCCTACTGCAATCCAAGGTTCACAACCCCAGCTGGAGTTCACAGCTCCATCCTGGAGCTGCCTCAGAGAGGCTGAGAGCTGGCAAGGTTCATGAAGACTGAAATCTTCCTCGGGAGTTCAGCACACCCTCTAGAAAACTCTGAAGGAACAAATTTGTGCTTCACGAACCTCTGAGCCCAGTTCAAGTGAAAAAAACCCTGCCAGCTGGCAACACAGTATTCCTGTCTTGCCTCTCCCAATGATCCCCTGGCTGCTCTCCTCTGCCTCTGTGGCATGGAGAAAATATTACCTTCAAGTCCCTGTGCACGATATCATGCTGGTGAATGTGATTCACACTCTCCAGTATCTGATGAATACAGTGGCTGCAAGATAAAGGGAGAGACATACAGAGTTATGCGCACACATACATACACTTGGAATCTCATCTCATCCCAGAACTATTTCCCTAACTTTTATATTTGTACCAGGGAGAGTTCAAGACCCCAGGCTGAATCCCTTCATCATGCCCACTGGATGCCACAGCTCAGTACTGTCACAGCTGGACACTCCCAGCCCCCTCAGCAACAGGATGCTAAACATCCTATCCATAGCAGGACCACAAAACCTCTCTCCTACCTCCCATCACCTCCTTCCTTTCCTCCCCATCACACTAAACATCTCACTTGTTCCTTCAGCCAACAGTGCCCACCCCACACAGGAGAACTGAGGCACCAGAGTATCCGTAAACAGCAGCCAAGATTGGGCAAGCAAGACCCAACCACTCCAAGAAACATTCAGCTGGGCTAGTCCCAAGCGAAGAATAAACTTTCAGAGAGCAGCAGCCTCCCCCGGCAAATTCAGGATGACGACTCCTGGGCGCCTGCCAATTCGCAAAGCTTTCAGAGCAGCATCTCAAGCACTTTACATACACAATGTGCGCACACACCCGCTTGCTGGGTGCCTTTTAAGTACAGATCCCACTTAAGGGGTTAGCGATCTGAGAAGCAGACTCATTCCCTGTTAAGCACAGTGTGCTGCACTCCCCCAGCTCACAGAAAACCGTGTCCCTGCCACTCTCAAAAGTAAGATGTTATTTACACCTGTCGCATAAGGACAGCGCAGCACACCCATGGGTGAGACTTCTGATTGAAAACATCTCTTCCGCTAAACATTTACTTAGCTCCCGAGGGCTAACGTGGAATGGAGTAGGGATTTTGACAACTGGGCAGTAAGCACCCAGATGTGGGCAACTCAGATGGGTCTGTGTCCTCACGGCAGGATCAGTCAGTCCCCTCACCGAATTCTACAAATCCCAGGAGAACAAATTTGAAATGAGTGAAATATTTGAGGGAAGGGAAATTGGCTACTGGAAAAGATGGGAAGAGGGTGAGGGGAGGAAGAGGAGAGGAGGTGAAGCACTGTGTATTTATTACTCCCACCCCTCTGGAGTTGGCAGTACAATCCTCAGGGTCGGGAGTCCATGAATATCTCCCCGCTCCCAAAACAAAAATGTATAATTAGAACAGAGCCGAGTCTGAGCGAGAGAGATTTTCTGGCCAAAAATGGCAAAAGTGTGAGGTGTCCCAGGCGAGCCAAGTGCAGCGGATTGGCACAGACCTCGCTCCCTCGCTCTCCCAGCCGGCTCTGGAATTCAGCTCGGCATGGGGAGAGAAAGGGAGGAGTTTCACTCTGTCATCTTGTGGGCACTGCGAGACCTGGCCAGCTGACACTTAGAGGGCTGAGCACCCTGAGGAAGGCTCACAGAGCAACAGACAGTTCTCCTTTTCCCCTAACCCTGCCATAATTTTCCTGAGCAGTTGTCACTGCCAGATCTTGACCATTTCAGGGAACAGGCACTGGCAAGAGGGACAGGGGGAAGGATGATGATTGATAACCTCAAAATTTCCCAACTTCAAGGCAGAACAGCTTGAGTGACTGTGTATCTGTCCGAGGTGCTGTGCCTACAACATCTGTACACCCCACTGAAAACATATACAGGGCTCTCAGACCTCTCTGCCAGGAGCTCCATCAGAGATGACGAGCCCACTGGCCTTCCCCCTCAGCAGACGGCTCACGGCGGAGCACGCGGTGCAATGCCTCATTTGAAAGCATCGTGCAATGCCCAGAAGACAGAGGCTGTAAGCATACCACAGGGAAAGCAAGTAAGTGCCCGCAGACTCCACAACAGTACCTACACTTACAAACCAGGTCATACTCTTCCCTTCCTTGCACTCAGTATGATCTTCCTCACAGTACTGCTACCAAGCTCACCCTGCAGCAGCACCCGCTACTCCCTTCTTACCCCTCTCCTCTCACGGCTCCCCTAATTCCTGCTCCAGCAAGGGTTAGGATAAGGGATGAGAACACAGGTGCAGAATAAGCAGGGGTGAAATGTCACCATCGGGCCAATCCCAGGCCCTGCTAAAGCAGAACAGGAGCTGCTTAATCCCAGCTTTGATTCCAAATGCTGCATGTCCAGCAGACGGATGGGTCAGACAAGACCCTCAGCTACTGCTGCGCAAAACAACCACCCTGCATAAACTGCAAAGGGACAAACACAAGCCATTTCAGGAAGCTCACGCATGGGAGAGAGGGGACACACTCAGAAAAAGAAGGACATAACTCTAAATCTTTTTAGTATTAAAATATAAAGGATGCTTTCACATATTGTGCCTTTTCTCACTGTGCCAACCAGCTCACCGTCAGAGAGGGCTTCCACAGAAACATACCCTTCAAAGCCCTTCTCCCCCCTGCCCCGTAAACCATTACCTAGACACAGGCAAATCAAATGGGTCTGCCCAACAGCAATGGCACATCACTGGAACCCATAGAAGAAGGCAGAGGCCGAGCAGGCAGTGCTCTCACAGCCACAAGACAACTCTCCCCTACGTTTGCTCACTAAGGACACCCTGTCACCACTGACCAGAAAGGTCAGGCAAAGCCGCTAGCAACGGGTCTTCCAGCAAAGAGCACAGCGTCTGCAAGTGGCAAAAGACAGCAGCGTCTGCAAGTGGCAAGGGCTAGAGCTGCAGTGAGTCAGGCTGACCGGTGACAATAGTTTATGCTAATAGCAAAAAGAAGAATTATTTTTTCCAGGCGGGGAGCAAGAGTGTCAGAACAAAGCCGTGCACAGAGCAGCAGTCAGGAAACTCATTCCACTTGCCAACACACGTGGCACATAAACAGAAGGATCTGGAAACAGTCTTACCTGGCATCTGCTTCACTGTAGTATTCTCTGGCAACAATATCCTCAAAGAGCTCCCCACCAGTAACCCTGGAGTGCAAAAGAAGAAGGGAGGTTACAGAGTCTGTGCACGTCTAGCTCAAGGCGGACATACATGGCCACCCATCTGGGCCCTTTCCCGCAGCCTGTGTGGGGACCTGTGGCACACAGGAGCCAGGGCAGAGCTCCACCACTGACCCGCGGCACAGAGGAGCCAGGGCAGAGCTCCACCACTGACCTGCGGCACAGAAGAGCCAGGGCAGAGCTCCACCACTGACCTGCGGCACAGAAGAGCCAGGGCAGAGCTCCACCACCATGGCACCAGCACTGGTACATCCATGTGACTGACCCCTTGGACTCCCATTTCACCACCAGTGTACAGGACACTGTTGACACACTGGGCATGAATTGCTCGCGCTGCTCTACAGAGCTTAGTAGATCCTAAGCCTGGGCAGAACATCCATCCTCTGACCCCCTCCAGGCTGCCTCAGAGACAAATTCAAACAGCCTCCTGATACAGGATAGCTGTCCTTTGCCATCCCACGCTTACACCTGCTGCCAGGAGCCTTCCTGGTCCATCCCCTATCACACAGTCAATGGATTTTTGTCAAATAGGCCAGAGGTATCTACAGGTCTCAAAAAAGAAAGGAAGAATTATATTAATGCAGGTGCTTTTTATTCCACCCTTAGTCAACCATCCACGTGCCTGTATAACTGGTGAAGCATCAAAGCCAAAGACAGACACTTACAGATCAAAGACAAGGTAATGGAAACCTTCTTCTGAAATACTGTCATGGAGCCGCACTGCAAAAACATAATCAAGAAATGGAGATTTACAGAGCATGTAGCAAATATGACACTTCACAAATCAAACCCATGCACACAGCCAAGTTCTCCCTCAACCCAGTCTATTAATTCCCCATGCCCTTCGCTTTGTGTGCTCACTTAGTGACCTATTTCTTCCGTTATCTCAAAGGAACAGATGGGTGTCCTTCACATACACCCACCCCTCCCCAGCGTCAAAACAAACTCTAAATATCTTTGACCTCCTGTTCGTTCTTCTTGTCTAACACTTCAGTACTCTCCTTTCACATCTGCCTACTCTTTCCTCCGTGCTCACGTTTTGTGATCTCTCCGCACCCATTCTTACTTCCTAAAACCCTTTTCAGAACCTCCAAACAAGCCCCCAACCCAAAAACTGACTTCTGACCCCACCTGCATGTCAGTGCCATTGATCTCCCTTCTGCCTTTCATCTGTAAAGCTCCATGAAGTTCCCTCCCTTTACTTCGTTTTCCTCACTCTGACTTACACCCCAAATCCTTACCCAAAATTCAGAGCCAGTTTCTTGTCTCGTTTTTTCCTGACACGTTTGTTACCACTGACATATCTGATCACATTGCCCTTCTCAAAATTTCCTTCAGCTTCCTTACCTATCCCCCCTAGTTCAGCTTCCATTGCCTAAATTAACCACCATCTTTTCCCTTTCCTTGTCCCCTTTAATCTGCAGGACTGGGTATGCCCCCATGATGGGCCACTATCCCCTGGTATTCTGGAGTTTCTGGGGCCTGTCCTCCTTTCCCCATGTTACATGTGGGCAATAACTATTGTGTATCTATCTGCAGCCAGCTCAGCGCCATTTCCTCCTGTCTAAGTCAAAATCTCAATTTCTTTGATGCTTCTTGGATACCTAGGCACTAATTCTAACCCAAGAGGAGAAACTAAGCCCTTAATTTCATATTGCTACCTACCCCCTACTTTTTGCTTTTCTCCCCTGCTGGAAAACTTCACTACTTTCCCTGCCAACCAAAGTCAAAAGCTAGCAATCCTATTTGACTCAATTCCTAAACCTTCACATCCTGACTAGGAAGAGTTGTCTTCTTCACATGACTGTCCACAGTCCTTCCTTATTGATTCACCCAACTAAAGCAACTATCTGAGACTAGACTGGGTCTCAGTCACTGCAACACCTTGTAATCGAGTATTGACCAAAGTAACATTACCGTTCTCATCCCTACAAGAAAAAGCTCGTTATCCTGCTCTGTCACTTTAATGGTACCTTTGCCTCCCTTCCCTGCCTTCCATTCTCTTCCACATAAAATACAGGTGACCTGTCTTGACTTTTCCCAACATCATTATTTTCTCTCTGCCAGTATCAAGAGGTCAGTTTGCACCTCTTATTGGCACATGACGTCAGCCACCATCACCGGCTTGGGAATGTTTCAAACTAGCACTTGGCACGTGCTCCTACCTCATATGGAACAGCTTTGCAAATGTTCTCAATGCTCTCCTCTAATCCTCCTTGCAACTCTCCTTTGCTAAGGCACCCTTCAACATGCATGCAAACACACACTAACTCAAAATTGAGAGTAGCACAGATGTGCAGAGACCACTGCCAGGACCTTTCCTAAAAGGATTTCATTCTTTCTTTATTCTTTCTGCCTGTCCTTTCCTATATTTTTCCTGCCTTTACTTACAAGCTCTCTGGACTGGTCCCTTGACCAATTTCCTTTCCTTAGCATTTCTACTGCATCTAACTGCAGGGGTTTGGGAGGAGCACTCCACACGGCATAATGCTGCAAACAAGCAAGTACAGTTAGAGTACCAGTACAGCAGGTGTTTCAGGCACAATATGCTGTTCCTACAGCATGAAAACAGACACATCACCTTTAAGAACTATGTTCCTCAAATCATTTGCTGCAAAAAAAAAATTTCTTCCAAGTAAGCAGTTTTAGTTGGTTTTGTAATAACTTCAATGCAATACAACTTTGTGTTTACAAGAAAACTTGCCTCCTGAGCACTTGGCAGAAACCAGCAGAGGCAGCATTACAAAAATGCAAGCAAGAAGAAGGGTTTTTCCTAAGAGAAAAGATTTCCATTCAAGACTGGAAACAAGATGGATAGTGGATGAAACAGACACTTGGATTCCCAGTGCAAGGCAGTTTTCACTCCACTGCACAAGACTATTTGAGGTGAATGCAGGAGACAGGCACATGAACAAGAGCTGAGGCCCAGGGCACAGGCAAAAGTCTGTGAAGGGACCTTATGAAGAGGGAAAAGATGGGGAAACTTCAAGGAAAGCTGAATGTACTAATAAGGTCATGTCTGGTGATGCTTGGTGTGCACGGAAAAGCATGCTCCTTCCTCTGGCACCTGAAAGGTCATCGAGGCACTGCAAGAAACACCAAGCAGAGAGGAGAGCGGCACAAATGAAATCCTGACAGAGAAGCACAGCCACCAGCAGGCTGAGAGCAGTGGCCATGAAAAGGGAACAGCAAACACGTCTGCAGGCAGAAATGAGAAATAGTGAACGATAAACTGATGCAAAGATGCGGGCAGCAAACTACATCAGAAAGTAAAACATAAATGAGCTGATTGGTGCTATCTCTTTGTCCAGAGGAAAGCAATTTTGTCAGATACATTATGAAAAGGGAAGGAAGTAGCAATTCAGCTGGCAAAGACTGGCAGAGGCAGCAGAAAGAGTCTTCAAGGACAGTAAAACAGTGTTTGCATGCTTAGGTGAGGAACCATGATAGGAGGATAGAGACAGTTCATAAATACTGATGCTGTACATCACCCTAAGGTTGCACAGCAAAAGAAGGCCTTGGAGGCAGGACACAGGTCATTAACTTAACAAGGGAGCTGCTTCCTCATGACTGCCCAGAGCGATGCTGGAACAAAATCTGCCTGGGATTTAATCTGCTGAGGTAACAAAGCTCAAGGAGTAACAGTAGAACACCAAAACCCAGAAAAGCTGTAGGAAAGATGACAGTGGGCCCCACCACCCTGCACAGGAGTAATTTGCAACAGCTCAAAACATTAGGCTTAAAGTGTGGAGGTGGGCAGCAATGAAGGGAGTCAAAAAGGATTAAGAAAAGTCTGAATATACCAAAACTCTTGTGACTTTCAATTCCAGCCCACACCTACTTCATACTTCATGCTAATGGGAAGAAACAAAAGCAACACCCAGTAGCAGAACAGCAAGAGCACGCAGTGCCCTTTCACCTTAACGTTTTGCTTACCTACCCTCCTGCAGAGCCACAAGAGCCTTCCTGACCAACAAGGATACTGCATTTGGCAGCTCTGATGCCATGGTTCACTCTGCTGACACACAAGTTAAAATGCTCTGCTTTCTAATACAGTGCTAACTACCAGGGACTGTTAGGTTAAAAACATGGTCTGCCTTTTACAGAACTATTCAGCCAGCCCATGAAATGGCATATACTCAGAAGTAACTCCACCACCTTTAGCTCATGTCAAGGATAAAAGCATTTTAAAAGTTTCTTGGCCTCTTCTCCACTTTGTTTCATAAATATGATCCAATATGTTAATTGTGTTAACATTCATCATAAAGATACACAAACATCAGATACCATTTGATACCTCCACCTTCCAGACAGTATAGAGCCCTCTTTGCTTTAAAGATGTCCTATGCAAGTGCCCTCCACCTTAAGGCAGGACACATGTTCCCGAATGGACATTCCAAGAGTGGGTAACAGGAACCCAAGTACTGGCTGTCCTCTGTTTCAGACATTTTCCCATGAAAAGGAGATCCCGTTTGTTCCACAGGAGGTGATCGTGCCCCTGTACTCGGCCCTGGTGAGGCCGCATCTCGAATACTGTGTTCAGTTTTGGGCCCCTCGCTACAAGAAGGACATTGAGGTGCTGGAGCGTGTCCAGAGAAGGGCAACGAAGCTGTGCAGGGTCTAGAGAACAAGTCTTATGAGGAGCAGCTGAGGGAACTGGGGCTGTTTAGCCTGGAGAAGAGGAGGCTGAGGGGAGACCTCATCGTGCTCTACAACTACCTGAAAGGAGGTTGTAGCGAGGTGGGGGTTGGTCTCTTCTCCCAAGTAACCAGCGATAGGACGAGAGGAAATGGCCTCAAGTTGCACCAGGGGAGGTTTAGACTGGACATTAGGAAAAACTTCTTCACTGAACGAGTGGTCAGGCCTTGGAACAGGCTGCCCAGGGAAGTGGTGGAGTCACCATCCCTGGAGGTATTTAAAAGACGTGTAGATGAGGCGCTTAGGGACATGGCTTAGTGGGCATGGTGGTGTTGGGTTGACAGTTGGACTTGATGATCTTAGAGGTCTTTTCCAACCTTAATGATTCTATGATTCTATGATTACTACCACAAGTTCACCTTCAACCAAGCAGCTGAGCAGAGCCCACATAGGCTGCTCATACCTGTGTAACCTGTTGACACAAGAAGGTGAAAAATATAATCATATGTAGATGCTGGAGGGTAAAGGATTCCCAAAAACTGACTACCCATGATAAGAAAAATGGAGAATTAAAAATAAAAGTATTCATCCAGTTAACCTTTTCTTCAAAAATATTACAGATCCGGGGTTTTTTTTTTTCCCTCTCATCAGGGGAGCAGTGACGTCTATGTCTAGTGCAGCAAGCTAGACAAATGCACACATCACAAAAACAGTCTCAAGTCGCAGCAACAGGGAAGTTGCACAACAGCAACACAGGGTCTTCCAAAAGACGACCAAACTACAAAAAAGTCCAGTATGTGTGAAGGAGCCTGATCTCTCTCTATTCACCAGAAGATGAGGTAGATTATTTCTATTAACTGATTCTGTCGCCTAGAAGCAGCAATTCAAACTGCATTTCCTTTCTAGCCAAACACTCTTAACCCAGGGATTCTTACAGATGTGGGAAATCAGTCCCTGCCAACACCACACACAGCCAGGGTCACCTGATGACTGTTCCCATGTCAAAGGTCTCTAATGGATGAAAGAGTACTTACTACAATGGTTAGCACGAACAGATGAGGAGAGGGGAGTAAGAAAGAAAA